TGCACAACAATTCTGTCTTGTTAAGTCATCATCAACATCCTTGTTTAAACATTTTTTGCATACTAAATTAATCCTTTCCTTAGGCCAAAGATTATGTTTCTCAAGAATTTTTTGATTCCTTTTGGTTTTCCTCTTAGGCTTTCTACTGAATGGTCATTTGAAAATATTATAGACTGTTTGCATTTATCTCCATGTTCATTAATATACCATCCGTCACGCATTATGGGTTGCTTTCCTCCAGATCCCAAATTCATTTTTGTTACGATCAGTGCATTCTCTGCCATAGCATTGTAGTTGATTGACTGGTCAAAACAAAAAATACCAATACATCCGGGATGTAATACCTCAAATATTAGAATTGCTTTTTATACAAGCTATATTATAAAGGTAAAAGTAAGTTGATTTAACATTTAAAAATTTTTTTTCTTTATTATAAAAAAAAAATTTAACTAAACCTGTTCTATCATATGTTCTGAGGTCTAATATCCATCTGCTTGTACAAAACGAAGAATATAAGCATCTTTATCTTTAATATGTGGATTTTCCTGTAATTGCTTATCAGTTAATTGTAATGGTCCATAACATAGATAAAGGAAACCAGAAACTATAATAGAACGCCCTAAATATTTTGAGCGTAAAATACTCTCTTCCTCTTTAACCCAAACTTTTCGTCATCCATCATTTGAATAGAAATGACACTCATCATGTGTCACTTGAACAAGTTCTTTTTCTCCTGAGTTAAGTTCAGGTTTTAATATAACATTTAACATATTACCATCAAATTCCTTTATAAATTTTTTATATCCAAACATTCTTTTCAGCTATTCTTTTCTATATACTACTACATTTGGCCTCTCATGCCCATCATAATAAATACCCTTCTTCTTTTCATCATACCTATATCCTCATAGATACATATAATTCTGCATGTTTTTTCAGAAATTATATCTTTTTTAATATTTCCTGTTAAGCTTAGAAATAATGTTTCCTCAATATATATTTTTAGATTATAGGGAGAACACATTTTTAGTGTCTGCTGTCATAACCATACTTGGCAATTTTCAACAAAATCCTCATCATCCAACAGACTTTCAATTTTCATATGCTTTCTTTGAAAATGTATAGAAAGTTCATCAGTTCGTATAAAATGACTTCCCCATTTTCTAATGCATCGAGCCATGTAGTCTCCCTTATTTCACATAGCCTGAGAAATTTGACTACTGGCAGTCATTTTTCCTTCTTCATTTAATAATCTCTGTATAAATTAGTGTACATTTAGAAGACATATATAATCATAGGTAAATACATTATAATTTTCTTTTTTAGATTTTCCTATTGAACATAATTGATTAAGTTTTTCTAACCATGTATATAGGTTTGACTTTGTATCAATTGGCATTGGCTTTGATGATCCAATATCTCCAGAAGCTGATTTGAAGAAAGTATCGATTTTTTTTATTCCTTTAACATATTCTTCTAACTCAATTTTTTTCTTTTTCTTTCTCCACAGCGTTATTTTTGAATCTCCAGTATATACCATCCTAATACTGCTTGTAGCATTCTCATGCTAATGAAGAGCTTCATTAATGAATCTCTTTCTTATTTCTTTAAATATTTTAAGATCTTCTTCCAACTAATCTTTAAAAGTTTTATCTCTTATTTCATTATCAGAAATTACATTCTCTAAAATTTTATTTTCTGCCAACTTTTCAACAGTCTCATCTTCTGACCTTTCTTTAATAATTTTGTCTTCTATCCATTCTTCAGCAATAACTTGATTCTGAGATGCATAACGTTCTTTTTTTCTAGAAATCTTGCTAATTTGCTATTGTCTTTTTGTTTTACATGACATTTTAAAAAATATAATTAATTTTAAACCTAAATGTGAAAAAACAATGGTTATCAGCTAAAAAAAAAATTTAATTTATCTACATAAAAGAGAATATTTTCTGAGTTTAATTAATTATGATAATTCAGACTGGCATTATAATGATAATAGTATTGGTCCAAATTATCATTAAATTCTAGCCAGTAAAATTACATGCACGTGATTTGATTCGTTTCAAATTTGGACTAGTCATATGAAAATCATCCAATTTTAAATGCTTATAACTTTTTATGTAAACATTTTTTAGGAAATATAACCAGTAATTTAATAGTACTCATCTTATAGAATAAAGTTACCAGTTTATTTTATTGAAATTTTACTTTTTTAAGAAATTAAAAAAAATTTAAGTATTACAATTTTTATTGTTGAGTTAAAACTTCCGGCACTATATATCATTAAGATTACAGCTAAAGCATTGAACAATTGATCTATTATTGTAGTCTTGATTAATATCTGCATGAGAATCAGCTTTAATGAAGTGTTAAACAAAAATATTGTTTTGATGAGTTGATTCAAGTATAATGGATATCTGTAAGACTTAGAGAAATCCTAAGATCAGAAATTCTAACATGTAGAATCAACTGCTGTAACCTTTTGACTTAGACATTAAGATAACTAAAAATTAAACTGATGATATCATACATTAGAATTATCTTAAAAAAGTTAGACCAAATGTTATACTGCTACTGTTTTTATTATAGGAGTGTAATTAACACAATGTGTTGAAGAATATAATGCAGTTATAAAAAGAATAGTTAATGGAATACTACATATAACAATTAGCTTAATGTTTAAATAAGCGAATATTCATTAAAATGCAAAGTATTAAATATCAAGAATTCAAAGATTCTAATGCTTTAATAAGTCTTTCTAATTTAGTTATACAGCTTTTTCAAGAATTGATCAGATAATATATACTTATTTAACAACAGAATTAATATCATTACAACTTATACAAATAAATCAAGCAACTTTATATTACTGTTATTAACTATCAATAGATGAACTTTATATTATTATACAATATAAGTAATGTGTATTTTATTTATGTTTTTATAAATGACTATTAATTCATTATTTATTCATAATATGATGCTGGTGAATTTAGTATAGATTTTATTGAAAATTATAATGAATCATAACAAATAGAACTTGATACTTTAATTACTCAATGTGAAAAAGATTTAATCACTTTTATATGGAAAGTTAAGCAATATAATGCAAATAAAATTAATTATGTTGTTTTGCTAAAGAATAGAATACACATGTGTTTTTGTATATTCTTAATAATAATAGGATCATATTGTCATTTTTTTTAGGTATCTTTCTTTTTATAATAATTTATAATGTTATTACAATGATATTCTAAGGCAAATGGCTTTTTAAGAGACTAAAAGAATAATGTATAACATCGATCATTACTTTAATTTTAATTCCCGCCAAAGTCAGCCACTAAATCTAAAAAGAAAAAACAGCAATAGAAATACTTCTTTTGTTCTTATTAGCAGTTGCTGGTGCTTATTAACTATTATTACATTTTAAATAGGTTATGCTCAATACTCCTGAAGCATTTTTTTATATTAAATTTATTCCTATTTATTGGTCTAAAGAAAAATATTTGCAACTTGAACAAAATGTAATTGCAGTGAATGAGCCTTTTATATCACAATCAAATTATATTATAGAAACTAATTCTATAGTCAATAATATTATATTTCAAATTCGTGATGATTTAGATGATAATGATCAAAAAGAAAAAGTGAAGGCAAAACGAGTTAAGATATATATGGAAAAATTTCTGGAATCTTTAAGGAAGCACTTAAGAAAGCTATTTATGATGAAGATTTTAGCCTTTATAATACTATCAATCAGTGGATTATCGATAAATAGCTTTCTCAACAAATGAATAACGAAGGACTATTTCAATTTCACTATGATAATGATGATCAGAATAGTATTGAGAATATTCTTCCACCAGAATTTAAAAGGCGTAAAGGTCCAACAGCAAACAACAGAATTAAATCATCTGTTGAGGATAATAAACGTAAGACTGCAGAAAGCAAAACATTAAAATGAAAAGTAATTTGTAAAAGATGTCATGAATAGGTCACTATGCAAAAACTTGTACTATTGAATTGTAATTTGTAAATGTATTCAAGATATTATTTATTATATTATTATGGCATAAATTACAATAGTGATTTGAGCCCGGCTCTGGACTTGTATTATTAATAAAAAATTACAATTTACTATATTTATCAAAATTGGACTGTATTATAACCAATCACCGCACAGCCACAAATTATGTGGCTGACACGTGTTTTGATTGGTTAAAATTTTAGTAGTTGATAAATAAAAAATTTATCCCGGGTTGACAAATAAAATTTTTCTTGTTGAAAATAAAAATTCTGATTTAAAACTCCATATAAAGCGAAATATGCTTGCTTCATGAAAATCCAATTTTTGATCAGCTATTAAAATCGAGTAAATCGTATCTTAGCCCTTTAATATTATTATACAGGTTTTTTTTTTTATATATATATATATAGGGCCCTGATCAATATTTGCTGCACCTCGATGATGGAGATGAAGATTCTTTAGAGTTACGAATGGTGTCTAGATCAAAAGACACGTTCATTACAACACTACTGTAGAAAGTTTAGTGTCGCACAACGATCTTCACGTTCAATCTACGAGTTAAATTTTCCTCAGTGGTACTGGGAAAATTATAGGCAGAATAATTATTGGAGACATGAAAGTCATCCATGTTTATTATTATAATACATATATTGATGATAGATAATTCCATAAATTTTGAATATTTTTGTTATAAATATAAAATGAAAATTAAAATATGTACATATAAATAAAAATATATATATTATAGCCAAGATTCATCATAAATACGTTGTTGAGCGAAAGTTAATTCAAGTTTTTGAAAATCATTTTCATTTTTAGGAGGAATTTCAACCGTATGAACCATTTCTTTTGATGAAGCGGGATTTATATCTTCATCTATAGAATTTATATCAGCATTAGATAATAAAAATGATTTCCTTTGAACGTTAACTTCAAAAGATAAATCAGAATCATTTAAAGGATTCTCAGTAAAAAATATAGTGGATTCTCTTTTAGAAGTAGGATTTCCTTGAAAATCTTCTTCATCGTTAACTTCATCACAAACGATTCCATGTTGATAATGTGTTTCTTTTCCAGAAAAGTATTGATCATTATCAACGAAATTATTTTGAGAAGAAAATTCGGTGTGTTTGTTTACTTCCTGAAATGAATCATGGAATCCAGTTTCGACGATATGAGATAAATCTTCACGTATTTCTTCTTCTTCGAAACGTTCCATAATAGGAGACATCACTTCGATAACAGGCGTATGAGGAGTATTATATAATGTCTGATATTCCTCATGTGAGGGAGGACTATCATTATCATCTTCATCTTCAGGAACATCATCCAAAGCGAGAGAAGATATGGGACTATTAACAAGGCTTGATCGATCATCATCAGCGATAACCGAAGAATCAACGCTAGAAGTGGTGGAAGAATAACTAATTATTTTTGGAGTAGCTAATTCTCTAAACTTTAATTTTTCATCAAATATTTTAACATCACCACCTTTAGGAACGTGTTGAATGTTATCCAAAGAACCGACACGAGATTTTACATTTGTAAAGCTTAAATTATCATTAAATATAATTTTATCACCACCTTTTGGAATATGATCAATATTATCAAAGGAACCTACACGCGAATGTACTTTCGTAAAATTCGGTTTACTGGAAAGCAATTTAACGTTACCACCTTTGTGGTACATGATTAACATTAATCAGTAATTGAATTGGACAAGAAAAAACAGATGCCAATTGGAAGGAAATCAATTTCTTATATCCACCTTTTGGTACGTGATTGATGTTGTCTAATGATCCAACACGTGACTTAACTTTTGAAAAATCCGACTTCACGGAAACTATCTTCAAATCTCCTCCTTTCGGTGTATGGTTGACATTCTCCAATGAACCGACACGTGATGTTACATTAGAAAAGTTTGGTCTTTCGGAATAAATCTTTTTATCACCACCTTTCGGTTTATGAGTTGCATTATCCAATGAACCAATACGTGGTTTAACGTGGGCAAAATCAGGTTTCTTTGTAGGAACGGTAATTTTAGGTGATTTCTTTTTGGGCGTTGTTATCGTTGCAGGTGCAGTCGATGGAAGTTTTTTTTTTCTTTGTTCTTGTGCTGGTATGTTTGCTTGTTTCGAAGAAGGTGCAGTTATCGTTGCAGGTGCAGTCGATGGAAGTTTTTTTTTTTTTTGTTCTTGTGCTGGTATGTTTGCTTGTTTCGAAGAAGGCGCAGTTAGCAAAGTAGAAATGGTTGTTGGTTTACGAAGTTTTGTTGTAACGGTTTGTTTGGTAGCGTTTTTCTCAATTATTTTATGTGATGGTGGAGCTGGTAATCTTGATTGAACAGCTGCCATTATTGTTATTTGAACAGATGATTTTTTTACCTTTTTAAAAAAAAATTATAGGAAAAATTTCCAACGTAAAAACATTAAAAATAAAAAATAAAAAAAATTTAAAATGTTGTTTTTTAAATAAAAGTAAAATGTTTGTTGTCATAAATGGATATCAAATATAAGATGCAAGTTTTATTTTGCATGCATAAATTAAAACTGCTTGAATTGTTAAATGACTTTGTTATAAATGTATGACATAATACATATAATTATCAAATGTCATATAAAAAAAAGAAAAAAAACGAGGTTCCTTTTCTTTATCTTTTTTTCTTATTAATTATTTTTTTTTTAAACGTTCTAAAAAGAACGTTCGTTAATGAAAGCTGTATTTGTAAATTGGTAATTATTTTTGTTTTTCCGAAACAAATTTTTTTTTTTTCAACCCTAATTTAATTCGTGTTACCATTTGATTTTATTCCATTACATTGTTGATTTACATGAAAAGTTCTTTAATTCTATAAAAAGAATAATATTTTGTTTATGTGTTTATGTGAACACAAATAATTCATATGAAAAACTTTATATGGTGGGGAAATAAGAATTTTTTTTAATACATCTCGTCTCGGTATATCGAATATCGGTATCACATGCTTATACCATTTTGTAAAAGTTAAGGTTGTTCCGATAACCTTTAAAGACGTATCCGATTTTAATTACCTTCAGATTATAGAGATATGATTGGTGTTAAAATAAAAGAATTCGGAGATAAAAAAAAAAATTCGTGAGAATGCTAAAAAACTGGTGATCGGTAAAAAAAAAAAAAATGATTCTTTCACACGTTATTTTTGAAATTGATAGTGAAAAAAAGTTCGGAGAACCGATATACAATTGTTTGTAACATTTATGATAATAATGAAACCACCCATAACCTTTATCTTACCCCTTAAGGCGATCTATTCCCATATCTAAGAATTTCGGTAACAAGCATGCGAATTTTAACGCACTGACGAGTTATAACTCATAAGCAATCGATCTTAATAATTTTTAATCTTGATTTAATCATGCCGAGGATCCTTAAAATGAGTGAAATCCAATTACATGTCTGTAAAAAAAAAAGAATAAAGTAGCTCACCTCTTTTTAATACAAAGCTAAAATGATATAGAAATGAATTTTCAAGAAATCGCGCAATTTACTTTAACAAACGGTTCCTTCATTTAATTTTATGGTCCTCCTTATACTAAAAAACTTTTTAATAAAACAATTTAATTATATTAAATATAATATATGATGAATTTATAATTATTGCATCACTTTATTTAATTTTGAAACAATTGATAAATATAAATAATTTTAAAGAACTTATATATCTAGGGACCAAAACTTTATCCAGACTTTTGTGCAATTGCAAGAGCCAATCAGCATCGACTCAATTATTGAGCGGGCGGACAACGGGACACCTCGTGTAACCTTAGACCTGTACATATATAGTCCTTCACTTCGTTCCGGACTAATTATGTTTAATATTATTATTTAAGTTTATCTTTATCATAATCACAATAATAAGAAAGTTAGAAAAAATTCTAAATTCTCTTTAACTTTTATTGGCAAAGTTATTAATGTAATAACCATAACTTTTAAACTCCAAAAATAATGTTCAATTTATTCGAAACGAAAAATATTTCATTTAGATTAACTTAAATAATTTTATTTATTTTATTTCAAAATAAATCCTAAAAATTACTAAAACCCAAAATTTATATTAGCATTTTAGATCAGCTTAATTTAAAAATATTATACATTTTCCTTATAAATTTGATTGATCTTTATTTATAATAATAATATTTTTAATATATCTAACTTTAGATTCTTTGCAAATAAAGTTAAGAACAATCAAAATAAATAATAAATCTTTTATCTGCTCAGTTCAACTATCATAAAAAATACAATATTTTTTAAATTAAATTATTACTAAAAGATTTTTGTTTAATCAATCAATTTATATTAAAAGTTATAGATTAAATAAATGAAAAAATTACCTAAAATATATAAGTAAATTAAAAAAATAATATTAATGATAGATTTTTTGATTTATAAAAAATTCTTCTTAAATTGAAAATAATAACATAAAATTTTGCTTATTATTAATATTAATATAAATCATAATTTATTTTAAGAGAAAACTATTAATAAAACTTAAAATTTTAATAATAAAAAAATAATTATTTATCAAATTACTCAATAATTTACATAATAAATTTTAAAAGCAAAAAATTTTAGAATAGTATTTATATAATAAATTTTAAGAATATAAATCTGATAACATTAGATAGTTTATAAAACTTAAAATTTTTAAGATAAAATTTATTTAGCAAACTCATATATTTATATAATAATATATATTAATAGTAAATTAATATTGCTTTTAAAATCTCTAAAAACTGATATTTATAATCTAAAGAAAATTATTTTTGAAATCTAAAACTTCTTCTAAAATATATTAATTTTTTTAAAACTTTGAAACTAATTTCAGATTACAGATCAGTTTTTACAATCTTAACCGATTTATTTTTAGTATTAATAGAATAATTGAAAAATATTGCTTTTATTTTAAGATCATCAATAGAGTTTTCATTTTTGAAGAATAATTTATTTAGACTATCATTAATTATTATTAGAAAATCCTTTATTTCTTTTTTAATAAATGGATTATCTATTGGTAATTGATGTGATTTTGAACTACTTAGCATAAAGAAGTATACTTATCTTCTTATTCTTGTCTTTTTGAAATTCTATTCTCATTATAATAAATCCTTGGTATCTTTTTAGTAAGTAAGACTTGCTACTGTTATCTGTACCTGAATCATTCTAGATTATATCAAATAAATTTGATGATGAATTAAATAAGTTACTTTTACCTAATGATATTAATAATATAATTTATACCAATTTTTTATTAATATTTTTTATAATATTTTTTATGTTTTTTTTAGTTTTTTTTTGCTAAAACATGAGCTATTTTTATCTGTAATTTAGAACAATCATTAGTTATATCATTTAATAATATTAAAATAAGTAAAATTATTGATCTGATTTAATTATAATTATTTTTTCTTTGATATATTCTATATCCAGAGATTCACTTTTAACTTTATTTCAAAATTTATCAATATTCACATTTTTTTTATGTTTTACAGAATGTATAATATACAATTTATTATTATACTACCCTATTAAAAATATCTAATCAAGTTCTTTTTGATTATTTTAAAATCAGATATATTAATTTATATAAATTTTTTAAAATAAATATTCTAATGCTGATGAATAAAATTTATATTTATTTTTATTATAATATATACATCAAATTTGATAATAATAATAAAAATAATAATTAATTTTACATAGTAATGATCTTTAACTTTTTTACTGCATTATCAAAGCATATTTTAAAATAAAAAAAATCATAAATTAAATGAATTTGAGTGTGAAAAAATCATTGAACTTTAAAAGAAAAGACTCATAAAGCCATTAGTCATATCTTAAAAATTTTAAAACTACTATTATAGATACAATTTCTCAATATAAAAATCTCAATAATAGATTAACAACTAAAAAAACTAAAAGACTATATTTATGAATAATTATAATTATTGTAATATTTCAAAAATTGTCAAAAAACAATCAATTTTCTTTTAAAGAAATTCAATAAAAATTTAATAGTTCATAAGATAAAAATATTTTAGTTATAATCATTCATAAAACTTTTATCAAATAGAAATTAATTTATGGATTTTTATACTAAAACCATTTCTTACTAAAGTTTAATATGAAAAATTATTATAATGGTATATAGAATGACAAAATTGATTAGTTAAATAATAAAAAACTGTTATCTAAAGTGATGAGTTCAGATTTACTTTTTTCAAAATAATAGTCTATAGCATAAGTGTAACTCATATAGACTATATAGGATTTGCTTGAAACACATGTGTTTTTTTTTCAAAAATACAAAATATTTTAAAAGCAAATCCAGCCACATGCAATAGAAATAAATTTGAAATATCTTGACAATTATGCGATGATTTTATTTATTTAAGATTAACCTTAATTTTGTTAATTCAAAATTGGCAAAATTTTTATTCAGATTATTCTTTATATCTATAGATATTTTCTACTATTTTTCTTGAATATATATTTGGTTATACATGACGAATTATTGAAGATTTTATAGTATTAGATTTTTTATTAATGAACAAAAAAATTTTAAAAACTATCATAATTGAAATGAAAGGTTTGTAACTTAATTAAATTTTACTAATTATTAATTAAATAATTCAAATATTAATTTATAAATACAATTTTAAGTGACTTGATTAGGCTAAATAATAATAATAAATATAATATCAAATTAACTACAGCTAAAAAAAAATTACCAGAAAAATTTATCAAATTTTCCATCAATTTATGAAATTAATAATATGATAATGAAGGTATATTATATTATTTACTTTTAGTTATTTAATTATAAATTATCATTTATTTATTACTTATTATACTACTATTATATTACTAAATATAAAGACTTCAAACACTATAAAAAATATATTTTGTAATCTTGGTATAAAAGTAAATCAAAATTTTTCAGTACTAATTCAGCAATCTTTATTTTCACTTAAAAAAAGTAATCATAATATTATAGAAGAAACAACTAATTCTAATAATAAGTTTGACATAGAAATAGAGTTAGCAGAATCTAATCTATTAGGTGAATTATATGATATTAGTGAGTTATTAACCTGATATCAAAAGTGAATATTAAACTGATCCAATTTATCTGAAAATATTAATTTTTTTAATGATAATTTAAATAAAATTAATAATGAAAATATATAATCAGCTTCAGGATTAGTATTTGCAGAAGAGGATTTTTTTGAAAAAATTAATAGAATATTCAGAAAAAAACATGAAATAAATTCATTAACTGTAATGCAAATTATGTATGATTGTTGAGGTAACTTTC